TTCCTTCCTTCCTTCCTTCCTTCCTTCCTTCCTTCCTTCCTTCCTTCTCTTCCTTCTCTTCCTTCCTTCCTTCCTTCTTATTTGAGTATAGTTGACACAGTATTACATTAGTTCAGGAATACAACATGGGCATTCAACCAGTTTATACATTATGCTGCACTCACCACAAGTATAGCTGCCATCTGTCACTATACAGTGCTATTACAGTACCAGTCACTGTATTCCCTATCCTATACCTTTCATCCTTGTGACTTATTCACTTCATAACTGGAAGCCTGTATCCCCCATTACCCTTCATTATTCTTCTTTAAACGTGACTGAAGTCAAAAGACATTGCCAAAGATGGCAAACCCATTGTCTATTCAAAATGAAAAGTAGCCAGAGTAAGTTCTTAAGTAGTGAGGAGGAAGCCACCTTCAGTTCTGAATTTAAAGGACTCACACAGGGGCACCTGGCTGGCTCAGTTGGTGGAATGTAGGACTCCTGATCTTGGGGTTGTGAGTTTGAGATCCATGTTGGGTGTAGAGGTTACTTAAAAATAAAATCTTCAAAAGAATAAAAAATTTAAAAAATACAATCTTCAAAAAAGAAAAAAAGGACTCACACATCTGTGGCTGGGTTCAAGAGTGATAAGTACTAGAAATATGGAGGAGAAACTAATGGAATAATTGGTACCAAACATTTAAAAGCACTTGCCTGTGTAGACCTATTTTGTGCCTGAGACTTATGGTCCATCGCTTCCATTGCCTTTCTCCTGTCCTTTGTCCCTAACAGCCTCACTTACCCAGCTTAAATACTGGAGTCACTGCAAGAGAAGAACAATCTTTATAACAGATCTGCCTGTAACTACCCTACCCAATGATCACATTTAACATCCCTAATGGAGGGACAACTTTTCCTTGTCTCTTGATGTGATGCAATATGAAGTGCCCAGTACTACCAAGGAAGTATCATTACAAAAGTGTTTAACCTGAATGAAACTGAGCTTTAAGACATAATTTTCAGTTTATAAGAAATACAGGGAATAGAGTAATATGTTAAGTAACACCATAATATAATGAGAGAAATTCGGAAATATGGAACATCCTATAAGACAATTGACCTGGTCTCTTCCAAAGATCAATGTCATGTGGGGTAGGGAATGGGAGGACTGCTCTTTCAACTTTCCTGTTCATTTGAACATTTTCTTAATAGAAAGTTGGAAGAAAACATTTTATTGTTAATCATTAAAATCACTCTCTTCCCATGCATTCTCAACTCCCTTGACTCTCTCCTTACTTTGTCATAGTTGCCTGGTAAAACCTCACCCCTGGCTAAATCCAACTTTTAGCTTACTCTGTGCTTGCCCCTGGCAGCTGAATGTGGCTGGGAAAAAAACCCACACATGCACATGTTCACACACACACACACACACACACACACACACACACACACACACACACAGGTCCCAGTTAAATTCAAGGGGGTCCTTAGTGCAGCTGGCCATTCTACAGTTCCCCAAGTCTGTTCACTCTCACTGTTCTAGATGACTATTATATCCTGCCTTCTCTCTCCTCAAATATTCTACTTCCTCAGTCTCAGCTAAGGACTTTATTTCCTATTTTACTGAGGAAAAAGAAGTAACTAGAATCTCTGTAAGCTCCAACTATTAGGATACGTGCTCATATATTCAAACTTCCCAAACTTACTGTGGATGAACTCCCATGTCCCTATTTCATGACCAACTCCACTTGTCACTTGGACCCCCTTTACATCGCACCTAGCATACCCCTTTCTCTTCCATCAACAGTTTTGCTCTGTAATCCATCATTGTCATCTCAACACACATTTTGTAATTTCTCCTATCTTAACAGAGACTCCTTGGACCATACATCCCTTTCTATTTCGTTGTTCCATTTCTCTGCTGCCTTTATGACAAACTTCTTGCAACAGTTGTTTACACCTGCTGCCTACAATTCTTTCCCCTCATTCTATACTATAATCAGACTTTTGCCCTCACCACTCCATTGAAACTACTCTTTTCAAGGTCACCCATGACCTCCCTGTTGCTAAGTGCAACGCTCAAATCTCCCGTTCCCCAGGCACTCTCTGGCATGGTTGACAATTCCATCCTCCCTGATATGCACTCATCACCTGGCTTTCAGACCACCACACTCTTCTGGTTTTCCCTTCTTTGGCTATCCTTCTCAGCCTCCTTTTCTAGTTTCTGACTATGGTGGTGGTGGGGGGGTGGTCTAAAGACTCAGACCGTCCTTCACAACATCCCACTCAGCTGTCTACTGGGCATGTCAAGTCAAAATACCCAAATGGAATCTTGATTTCTCCCCATCCCAAACTTGCTCCACTTATCTGAGGTAATGATACCTTCATTTTTCTAGGTACTCAAGGCAAAAACTATGCTATCACCTTGATTCTTACACCCAACATCCAATCTCCTAGCGTCTTACTGGCTTTGCCCTCAAAATATGCCTAGAATTTCACCTCTCATCACCTCTACCACGCTCATGTGGACCAGCCATCATCTATTGCCTAACTGTTCTCTGGGCATTCATCCTTGTTCCTTGTTCCTTGCACCTATTCTCAAAGAATGTAGGTAGAATGGGGGTAGAATGTGTCTAGAGAAGCCAGTAATGTGCTGAAACATAAATGAGTCAGATATGTCACTCTTCTCAAACTCTTCAAAGGATTCCCATCTCATGCAGGGTAAAATTCAGAGTTGTTACAATGGCCAACAAGGCTCAACATGATTGGGTATCCTAATACCTCTCTAATGTCATCTCCACTATTCTTCCTGTAGCCACACTGGTATCCTTGGTGTTCCTTGAACCTTTCAGACGGGCTCCCACCTCAGTGCCTTTGCACTTGCTCTTCCTTTTGTCCAGAATGCTTTTCCTCTACATCTCTGCCTGACTCACTCCCTCACTTCCTTTAGGTCTTTATTCAAATGCTATCTTCTCAGTGAGGGCTGCCTCGACTGCCTATTTATAGTTGTACTTCCATCCCTGCAACTGGCCCTCCCCACTTTAGTTTCCTATATAGCTCATATCTACCTGATGATAGTGTGAGCAACCATCTTGGTTTGCTTGGGAATGTCCCAGTTTTAGCATTAAAAGTCCCACATCCTAGGAAACCCCCTAGTCCCAGGCATACCAAGTTAGCTGTCACTCTACTCCTATACTATATGTTTTACTCGTCTTTTCTTGGTATATTAACAATACAACAATATATTTCTCCGTGAGGGTAGGGATATTTAGCTGATTTGCTCATGATACCCAGTGTCCATAGGTAAGTCCTCAATAAATGTTTATTTAATGGATAAATGGGGAGCCAATAATGATTATATGTTAGGATCATCCAGTGCTTAGTATATATAGTAAATTCTCAACAAATGTATGTTGTAAGAATACATGAATGCATTCCCTATAAATGTACACATGATTAAAACAGATATACAAATATAATCCTAATTAGTATGTTAATTACTAACAGGTTTGCAAAAATAACCCTAATTAGCATGTTAATTGCTAACTTCCCTTAATGGATGCTACCCATATTCTTTTTTTTTTCTTGTATTCATTACAAAAACTACTATATACACACAACATGCACAACATCTGTAGACCCTCATTAACTTAGAGCTTACCTGCCTGGGGAACTGTGCCTATTTTATCTACCGATGATGAGATAAACTTTCCCCCAAAACTCCGAGCTGCTCAGGCAACATCGTGGCCGCACTGACTCCCCCCATGAAGTTCTGCAGCCCCCACCACTTCGGGACTATGCTGGTAGGAAAAGTTGGGCCATAATCTCTACTCAGCTGTAATGACTACAGATCTCAAACTTTTCAAAAGAAAAAAACCTGGCAAACTATTCAACTAAAAATAAAAAGCTTTCCGAGGTCCATTGGGGTATTTTCAAGAGGCACGGGTAGTTCTGGAAGGGACCTGAAGAGCAGGCAAGGGAAGGAGATGGGGACAAACATGTCCTATTCCCCGCAGGGAGCTCAGCCCTTAACAACAAAATTGAGAGGCTCGGAGGCAATTAAGGAGAACACAAAGACTCCAACCAGTGAAAAGCCTATGAGGACAGGATGAGGAGAGAACTGGGAGAGCTGGGGGAAGGGTGGGTTGGGTTGTGGGCTCATCTCGAGCATGAATCATCACCTGAATTGGTCAGAGTCGCTAAGGTCACTTTCTTAATGAAGACAGCAGAGCCCTCAAATGCTACCTTGCACTGTCACAAGGATCCTACTTTAGGAATGGCTTTGGGCTTCCAGGATTGGATCTGGTGATCCAAGTATGTAGTATCTAAGAGCGATTTCTGTTCTGGTCCTCCGGTCCTTTGTCACATTCTTCACTCCAGTTCTTGTCTTATACTACCACCACTTGAGCTAGACCGAAGGGTAAGATGATCAGACAAAAGCACTCCAACCCTGCTTAGCTGCTCCCCTGACCCCAAGACAAGGCCCCCTGGTGCCAGAAGCTGCTTACCTGCTCTTCTGTCTCAGGCTCTGCAGCACATTGGCATTACTTGGGGAGCTCTACGAACACCTGATGCCCAGGTTCCACCCCCAGAAATACTGAAAGCTGGGGTGTGGCCTGGGCATTGGGGTTTTTAAAACCTCCCTGGGTGACTTTAATGTGCAGCCAGGGTGAGAAGGTCCTGAGCTGTAGACGGATATCCTTTTAGAAAAATACACTGCGGGTCACTTCACCTGTCTGTGAGGAGGGCTGGAAGGCAACTCACTATGCCAGTGGATGAAAGAGCAGGGGCAAACGTCTCAAGCCCCCAAGCCCTCATGTCATCAGTCCCAGGACATTTTGAGACTGTAGACCATTGCCAAAGAGAGTAAAGTATTGATGTTTAAAATGAGTACTTATCAAATTCACCTAAATTTGGCTGACCAAAGTAGCTCAAGAGAAATAAAATCCAAGGGCAATTATTGGTCCCCCACTCCCTTCTGTCAGTTATTTGGTTCAAAGAATTGGCCTTTGAGATTACCATGGTATTTTTATGAAATGATGTATGTAATCTTGGCTTGAAAGAAATCAATGTAGTTTCCATAAATGCTTCACTTACTTCTGGGCAATAGTCTGCATCTGGACAAAAAAATTCTAACATATCAGTAAAACCCTAGTTAGTCTTAGTTTGTGGGTAAAGCCCTGTCAGGGAATATAAAAACTCATTAATGAGACAGTGTTGGCATATAACATTGTTAAATATCCAGTAAAGACAGCTGAAAGTCTAGTGAAATGTGTTCTCTTTGAAATTCTCCATTTTCTATGATCAATAAATAAGAAAACTAGTATTTCACAAAGCTAGTTCTCTACAGTGGATGCCTATTTGATTAACCCTGGATGAATTCAATCTGCTAAACTTATCCAGAAGATATAACAAACCATTTTTTTAAATAGGCAATGTATTTAAGATCACTCAGCTGAGACACCGGCCCACAGTCATAAGTAGAATAGGAGCATATGAATGGCATCTTTTTCTACCGTTTACCCTTCTAGAGGCGCTCAGGAGCCTGCCATTAGAAGCACATTAGCAAGGGCACCTGGGTGGCTCAGTTGGTTAAGCGACTGCCTTCGGCTCAGGTCATGATCCTGGAGTCCCGGGATTGAGTCCCACATCGGGCTTCCTGCTTGGCAGGGAGTCCGCTTCTCCCTCTGACCCTCTTCCCTCTCGTGCTTTCTATCTCTCATTCTCTCTCTCTCAAATAAATAAATAAAATCTTTAAAAGAAAAGAAAAAGAAGCACATTAGCAAATTGGTGCAGATTCCTTTCTCCCTGGTGTTTCGTTTTGTTTTAACTGCTTGCTTATAGAGGTAAGACCAAAATCTTAGGAAAGCAGAAAAGATAATGCCTTTCCCTAAAATATGTTTTGTCAAACCCAAATCCTTTGGATTCTAAGTTTCCATTCACTGCTCAGAGAAATTTCAAATAGTTTCCCAGCTTTCCAGAGTTCTTTACCTACGTACCTCTGGGTTTAGGCAAAACCCAATTATTCCACTTGTCTATAGGGTTAGATTTTTACCTGGGAAGTAAAAACACAGCCTTAGCAACAAAAGCATCAAGATATCAAAATAAGTTTGTTACTTAATAGGAAAAAAACACAGCCTTGGTTTTAAAAATCTGTCTCTGATTATTAACAGACTCACTTGCTAATAATGAGTGTTTCCTCTCCACATATCCAAACTCTCATGAATTCTCCATACATCTTGTTGTAGTAGTTGCAGGCACTGCCAATGCCCATCCACAGGAACCTGCAGTGGGAAATGAGGGGCCCAATCCCCATACAATAGCCAGGACCTAGGAGAGTTATCAGACCACAGTCAGCATTTTAGCAAACACCAAAAAAGAGCAACTGTTTTATGTTATTGCTGCTTGTGTTCTTTGATATCTAAAAGGTCTTTGATATCTTCTGATGTATATCTGTGAATCTCTAAAAAAAAACAAACAAGCTTAACATGAAAAAACAGTAGTTCAGTGTCCATACCACTAGTTCTATTTGGTCTCGAACCTTTCAGTCTGAATGAGCCAGGGTAGGTGTCTGCTATCTTCTTGCCACATTAAACAGTGTCAGTGAGTTTTCAATATAAGTCAGTCAGTCCATCTTACAAAGCATGGAAACCAGGACATGTGACAAGCTGATCGATCTGTTTGGCTGCCTAGTTTTGTCTGAAAACTTTTGGTTTGAATACCCCAGCTGATGGAATGGGCAGGTTAAAAATAGGTTGTAGTTTTGGTGTAATCTTTTTAATTGAGAGACATGGTCTGCGAGGATAATGTTCAAACAAAGAATATCCATTTTTTTTTCCTTCAAAAAGGACTCAGTTTAAGAGAAGAATCCTAAGCTTAATCTCATTAGGCAAAACATACAGCTAAGGATTGAGGAATTAGGCAATGAGTCCAGTCAGTGTCTGGACTAGAATTTGGGTCCAGCAATGTGGTTTTACTCAAGAGCAGTGACCGCTCATGTCCTTGCTTACATAAAAAACGGAGGAATTTGCTGTTGCTTAGACCAGAGAACAAACTTGGTAGCTTGATTATACTGGTGGCCGTAAAAAGTTAGACAAAAACTTCTTGGAATGGTTTTAGGAGTTTTCCTGTGAAGTAGTAGCTTTTCTACATCAAATCTTTCTCCTTTCATTCCATTCCAGTAGTAAAATAGGAAGCCAACATACACAACTGTTTGAGACAGTGTTCTCACTCCAGGGGCAAGCACTATGTAAATAAATCTAGATAATCTAAGCTTTTGCTTAAATCATCTAAATTGGATGTTAAATCCCAAATTCGTCAAATAAGATTTAGTCTTTTGAAATAGCTGGATTAATGGGAATAAAACTGTCAGGTTTTTTTCTTTAAAGTGAAGGTCTTTTGGGATGCCTGGGTGGCTCAGTTGTTAAGCGTCTGCCTTCAGCTCAGGTCATGATCCCAGAGTCCTGGGATTGAGTTCAGCATTGGGCTTCTTGCTCCGTGGGGAGCCTGCTTCTTCCTCTGCCTGCCACTCCCCCTGCTTGTGCTCACTCTCTCTCTCTCTCTGACAAATAAATAAATAAAATATTTAAAGTGAAGGTCTTTGGTAATATCTATAGAACCAAAACATTTTCAGAGTGTTCTTCTGAATCTTCTGATTGTTCTGATAACACTGTATTGTAAGTAGATGACTGACTTTATACCTAATAATTTCATTAAGTTCTTTAAAAGATTAAAACAAGCAAATTTGAATATGTATTTCCTTAAAAGATCATCAGATATACAGATCTCTAATCAATTAAAATGTGCATAATAACAAACTACTTTGCTGGGTATTTACAGTTTGAAACATTGTAGATGCCTAATAAGTGTTTCCTGGTGAATTTTTTAAATTAATTAGATATGTGTGTGTAATATAAAGGATGAAGTTTTAAATATCATCCACATTTAGAGGGTTTTCAGGTTGTATTTACATTTTGTTAAAATGGAAAAATACCATTGTAACGGGTACATTTAGTCCACGGGAGGTCAGACATCCGGCTATTTGGGAATAGACTCATTGAACAAACGTTTACTTACTTAATATGCTAGGCCCATGAGGAACAAAGACATGCAAATGAAAGGCTGCACTCTTCATTTTTTATCTAATAGTTTGGTGCCATGTAGAAAGTCTTAATATTAAGGAACCACCATTCAAGTTTAAAATATGACAGTGCAGATCTCTATCCACTGAAAAAGGGAGATGGTGATGAACTTTGCTCAGGTTGAAAACCTGAGTGTTCTGACCAGAAGAGAATCCAAGTCTTGGGTCCCTAGTGATCAATCATGTGTCAGCTTAATTCATCCAACAAACACTTACTGAGACCCTACTAGGTTTAGACACTAGCTACGAGTCAGAGACTGGAGATGGAGTGAAAAGCATAACTAGGTTCCCAATCAGAGTCCTGGGCAGGAGAGGAGAGTATGGGGGGGAGAAAGTACAATATTGAATTATTATAACACAATGTGATCCTTCCATTTACATGTATACCTTACACTTTCCAGCTGAGAAAAGAATGTCCTAGGAGGGGAGAAACTTTGGTAGGATATTCGAGAAATATTCTGGTTGCGTCCACATTAAGCTGCTCTCTGCCTCTCAGATTTGGGAATGCTGATTTAGGCCTACAGCAGTTGCAGGCACCTCTTTCACACCCTAAGAGGAGCGATAAATACTACACTGCATTTTTGTGCAGAAACAGCCTCCCAGAAGCCAACAGCTGGGACCTCTCACCCACTGTCCTAATCTAGAAGCTGTTGCATTCCATGCTAGGTGTACACCCTAGAGAAACCTGTGAACGGGAAGGCTCATAGCAGCACTGTTCACAATAGTCCCAAACTAGAGACACCCAAAGGTCCACCAACAGTAGCATCAGTAATTAAACCACGAGATGTTTGTGCTACTGCATACTATATGAGCTATAGCGGCATGTCACAACATGGATGAAGCTTATAAGCACAATATTGAGCAAAAGAAGCAATATAGAAGAAGTAATGTAGGACTCGATGGCTAAAACATTTAAAACCAGGCAAAATTAATCTGTATTGCTCAGGGATATGAAAGTAGGTGGCAAAACTATAAAAAGCAAGGGAGTGATTATCACAAATTAGAAGGATGTTTACCTCTGGAGGTGAGAGGGATATGATTGAAAAGGCACAAGAGAAGTTTCTGGGATCCTGCTAACATTCTGTTTCTTGTCCTGTACTGTGATGACATATTTACTTGTGCATTTCCCTGTGAAGTCGTTTTTTAGTGGGAGAAAGGGGAATGTGTTGCCATGTCCTTTTCCCAGTGACACCCTCTGGGGACATGGTGCCCAGGGCAGAGAGAGGCTCTGGGGGAGGGAATCCATGTGCAAGGTTGGGGATGGCTCAAGAGATTTAGCTCTGAGTCCCCATTTCATCACTTACTAGCTATACACCATCGACCCTCTTTAATCTCAGTTTCTTCATCTGCAAAATAGGCATAAACACACCTACCTCATCAGAGTGCTATGAGGATCACAAGAGAGAAAGAATGTGAAACTGCTTTGCAAATTGTAACTAACTTAAGGGCTTTTAAATCATTGCAACTTCTTAACTCCCCTTGACTTTCCCTGACCCTGAGCTTTCCCCAAACCTGTAAAACCAAGAATCCAGAGAACCAGTGATTCAAGGAAACTGGCCGAAGGAGTTCAGGAAGAACCACCCCAACAAAGCCAATTTTCTCACCTTTCCTTCCCCAGCCGGGCACCATGGGATCTTAGTCTGTGCCATGAGAGGATTCTGACCAGAGCTCACATTTTCAAAGGGAAAGCATGGAACTAGAAGCTCCCTGGCTAGCAAAATGATCACCAACCTGGGATTTAGCAATTCCTGGTTGTTCCCCTCCCCTGCCTTTCCTTTCAAGGTGAGATGCCTACAAGCCATTTCCTTTCTCTGGGCTTTAACCCTCACCTGTAAAATGAAGGGTTTGAACTTCATGGTTTCTTATATTTGTCATAAGGGTTTGCTTGGGTAAGGCAGTTCACCTCTCTGGGGCTCAATTTCCACTTCCATCAAGTGAAGGGGTTAGGCTCATATCTGTGGCTCTCAATCCTGACTGCTAATGAAAAATCACTTGGGAAGATTTTTTTATTTTATGTTTTTTTTTAGTTGGGGGGAGCGGAGCAGAAGGAGAGGGAGAGAATCCTAAGCAGGCTCCAAACCTAGCACACTGGGAGGGCTCAATCTCACGACCCTGAGGTCATGAACTGAGCCAAAATCAAGAGTCAGATGCTCAACCAACTGAACCACCCAGGCGCCCCAGATTTTTTTTTCTTTTTTTTAATATTAACATGTGGGCCTTGCTCCAGACATAGCTGAGAACCATAGAACTATTAGTGTATAGCAGCATGATGTCCCCAGTGCAGGATTGGGGAACAGAGTGAGCTGTCACCTAGGCTCCTGATCCAAAGCTTCAGAGATGCCAGTTCTTGTGCTTGCCCCCCATAGGCTGACCTCCTTTTTCAAAGGTCCAAAGGACTTCTTCTAACACATAAACATCTGGGGAGACTTGTTATAAAATACTCTCCACCTCACCCACCATTCATGGATCCTGACCTGGGAGCCCACTGTGGGAGAAGAGATCGAGTGAGGAAGGAGCTGTAGTGGGAAGGAGCTCAAGTTAAAGGCCATGAAAGAGTCTTCCCCCAGATCCCTCAGGGAGCAGAGAACAACATTAACTGAGCTCTCTGTTTAAGTGGACATGAAAGCAACCTAAAATACCAGGCTGAATCAGATAGACAGGACAGACAGTTCTCTGGAAAATTTTGGAAGAATCCAGACACGGGGCCCTTTGCACCAGCTTCACATTCCTACCCTAAATCACTCTATGATGAGGTCCACTGCACTTGGAAGTGCATAATGACTATGCTCTTGAAGTAAAGCCTTGTCAGATGGCTCATGGGACTGGGGATAGATGCTTGCCATGAAGAATTTTCACTGAAAACTAAAGAAATAGTTGGATATTTCTGATAATTCTGAATTAATCTGATAGTTGTGGAGTGGTAGGGGTTTCTATTGGAATTATCTGGATAATCATATGATACTCTACTTTTGATTAATCCACAGACCTTGTTGAAGATTCTATCAGGGTATGATGTTCCAAGGGAACCATAGTGGTCTCCATTTTTCTTCCAGTGCCCAGGTCCCAGCCAGCTCTTATGGTGGCATCACCATCACACCTACCCCCAAGAATAAGAGAAAATGAAGAGTGGGATGAAGAGAGGAAATAAGTTCAAGAAAGGAAGAAGGCAGAACACATGGATGAGGCAAAGCAGGAGGGAGAAGGAGAGGAGTATAGAAGGCATTCCGGGTGTGCCTGGCTGGCTCAGTCAGTGGAGTGCATGACTCTTGATCTCGAGGTTCTGAGCTTAAGCCCCACACTGGATGTAGAGGTTACTTAAAAATAAAATATTTTTAAAAAGAAGGCATTCCAGAGACATTTTTGCCTTCAGAGCAACATTGGAATGAATTTGAATAATAATTAAAAAAATGCCTGGTTTACCTTGGCTTCACCCCATCTCAAGCTTACTTTTTTTTTTCAAACTTACTTTGGAGGATACTTGTGCCAAGTCTACTTTACCAAAGCAAAGCACAGACTGGACGGGATTATCTAAGATATTTTTTTGAAATGCTTTCATTTGAAATATGCAGCTAATTGGTATAAAGTTTTTCACCTGAGTTTTTATTTGCTAACTTTGCCATGGGCTTCAGCCATTTCACCATGTTTTTGCTCTTTGTCCTTTGCAAAATTTTCTTTACCCTCATGGACCAAAAGCCCAAGTAAACAATCTCCTTAGTTACAGAACTAAATGACTGACTTACCGGGTATTGAGGATGTGTCTTCATAATTCCAAACCAAAAGAAGAAAGCCAGTGAGCAGCAGGATCGGCATGGTGGCCACAGGCATGACTTCGGGCATCATGCTGGTGATGTTATAATGCATTGGGTTCAGCATTTCCAAAACCATCTTTTGTTCCTTGATCTCAAGAGAAAAAACTTAAAGTCCTGTGGAAATCAGAGGAACAAAACAAAAATTAGAGAATCCCCCAAAGGGTACATCCAGGACTCCCGTTGCTTCAGAGGATGCTGTAGTGCAGAAATCAGCACTTGTTTTATAATGTGATTGGACACCTAGACAAGACAAACTTGTGGTTACAAGTCAAAACAAGCAAGCCAAAGAGAGATCTTTTGGCTTGAAGTGCAGCATTTCTGACCTTGGTAGAGTCTCAGGTTCGTTTAGACACTTGGTTTGATAGAACCTTATCATCTTGCCCTTGAGTGGGTAGAGTGGCTGAATTCCCAATTGAGAATCAAATTTCTTACCAAAATACAAGAAAATGAAGCTCATTCCAGAGGTGGAGCCATTCTGTGACTTCATCAGCAGATATTGCTTAGGCAATCTTTTTCTCTTGATGCCAAATCAGTTTTTTAAAAAGTAATCCCTAACCCTCTTCCTTGCTCAAAATGACTTCCCCCAAAGAGTAAGTTTCTCTAGGAAGGATAGTTGCTTGGGCATTGTCGCGGTATCCTCAGAGACTTCTGTTGGGTTGTTTGTTGAATTCAGCGTGACTCACTCAGGACGATCTTTCTCTATTGGCTTTAATAAGGCTTAAAATCTTTTGCACCACAGGCTGGATGAAGCAGTGCCCATGGGGGCCAATGTCAGAAGTGGTAGGAGAGAAGAATGAGAGAGGGAGATTCCAGGGAGAGGAGAAAGAGAAGGAATGGGGGAGGAGGAAGAAAAGAAAGGACAGAAAGAGTAGAATGCCACCAGCAATGGGCTCAGGTACCACTCATGTTTTGCCACAGCAACTAACCTCCTGTGCAAGACAATTTTCAATTTGATTTGCTGGTTCTGTCATGTTTCTCAACAATGTAATGTTGAGTCTGTCTTTTCAGTAAGGTTTTCTAAGACAAATACTCACAGAGGAGAGTTTCAGGGATGGTGGTTTGTTGAAGAGACCTAGACTGAATAAACTTGCATAGCAAGGCAAGAGCGACCATTCAATGTGGTTCTGGTGCCAGATGACTGCTCTGAGGATTACCCTCCCTTGGAAAGTGACCTGAGTTCGCAGGACTTGTAATGGCTCTGAAACAGATTTTGGCAGGATTTTATCTAGGAATAGTTCTAGATTCTTAACGAGGGCTTCTAATTGGATTTTGGATGCTCTGTGAACTCCCTGAAATGCTGCATAAAGTATTGTATCTGCTCACCTGAACTTTTAGAGGGAAAGAACTTTTATCAGATTCTTAAAGAGTATGTAATTACATTTCTTATGATCTATATGAGATCTTATTTTATTTTATTTATTTTTTAATTTATTTGACACAGAGAGAGGGAGCATAAGCAGGGGGAGTAGCAGGCAGAGAGAGAGGGAGAAGCAGGCTTCCCGCCTAGCAGGGAGCCGGATGTGGGGCTCGATCCCAGGACTTTGGGATCATGACCTAAGCCGAAGGCAGAGGCTTAAACCACTGAACCACCATTACATCATTCTGAATAAACTCCCTGGAACTTTATGACAGCCAGGATCCTCAAGGTTTCTGTTGATATCGACGAAACCTGAAGCCAATCTAAAGGTGTAAGTGAAGAAGGTGGTTGAGACAAAAAGGAGGAAGATGCACCAGGGGAAGTGATCCTGGCAGAAAACTCCACATTAAGGAAACTCTCAGAAAAAAAATTTAGAAAAAAATAAAAAAACTCTCAGAAATATTTCGCAGCATTGAAGTCACAAAGATAACATGTTGGAAGCTGACACAAATTTATAAAGGAGTATGACGATCCGCCAAGGCATAGAAAAGATGCTCCATCCATATCATAAGTTATACAAGGAGGAGATGGCAGCAAGAGATATTCAAATACTCTCATTTTTTTTTACAAACAAAATACTTTTAAGAATTGCAGTGTTTCTGATGTTTACAGTGTATTATGAAATAGGTCTATTTTTTTCGTTTCCATATACACTTAAAACCTGTAGTATGAGAGTTTTTAATGTTTCAACAAAAATTTTAAAGGTCATGGAACACTTGTATTTTTTCTCTCGATTTTTTTTAAGATTTTACTTTATTTGAGAGAGAGAGCAAGAGAGCATAAGCAGGGGGAGGGGCGGAAGGAGAGAGAGAGAAGCAGACTCCCCTCTGAGCAGGGAGCCCGATGTGGGGGCTCAATCCCAGGACCCTGGGATCAGGACCTGAGCCGAAGGCAGACTCTTAGCCAACTGAGCCACCCAGGAGCCCTTTTCTCTCGATTTTTTACACAGTTTCAATTCTTAGGGTCATTGTTATGGTCTTGCACTACTGTGTAAAGCAAAGACTGCCTGTATATCTAAATGTTTAATAGGGCTTAGAAGCCTGCTTCCTCATCTTTCTCAAAAGTATGTCCTAAAGATGTCCCAAAGAGTGTGAGAATTTTTTTTAATGCTTACAGAGCATTTACTATGTGTCAGACATTGTTCCAATTGCTTTACAAATACTAAGTCATTCATCTTCACAACCACTCTGAGCTAAGTAAGAGGATCCCCATTTTACAGATGAGGAAACGGAAGTGTGATAAGTAGGGCACCCAGCTTGTTTGTTGCAGAGCTGGGATTAGAGTCCATGTAGTCTGTCTCTGGAACCCATGCTCTTTTGGTTTTCAAATTTTTATTTAATTTCCAGTTAGATTAACATACAATGTAACATTAGTTGTAGGTGTAGAATCTAGTGATTCATCACTTACAACACCCAGTACAGACCTGATCCTCTCAATCATGCCATTTTGATGCCTATTATCGGATTTATTTGGTCTCTATATTCAGGGACTTTTCAATCCTAAGCTATTTATGTTCATTCCTAAGCTATTCAGAATGACTTCCTTTAAAGGAGTTAAGCTTTTCAGACCTCTGAATATCACAGCTGGAAAAGTCCTTTCAAATTCTTTCCTCCTTGCACATTGAGTTTTCCTGTTCAGTAGAACATTCTAATGGGCCGCACAGACAGGTTGGTTGAACAGAGCTCTTTGATTGGTGGTATAGGAATGAGGAAGGTCCTAGAACTTCATAGGGGATGCTTATATGTCCTCTGTGCCAGGAATACCTCCCACACACCCCCAAACACATATACACATACGCATAGCCCTCAAGTGCTGTGTTCCTTCAAATGCCATCTCAAATGCTTGGGGCTCCAGGCATTTGTTTGCCGAGCGTTCTCTACTCCTCACTCACTGGGCATCCCACATGGGTCCTGGTACCAACAGGAACCAGATCTGTGTTTCTGTGCTGTGTGGAACCACGGGAATCCTAACACCTTCACTTACTACCCCACGACCTCAGGATGAGGAAATGCCAGTCCTACACCCAGAGTCCCCAGTGCAAGGCAAAGGCTGCTGGGGACACTGCAGAGTGGTGACCCCTGTGTCACCAGGACACTGGTGACACCAGTGTCCTGGTGCTCTGGGTTCAGGATACACTCTGGGCCCAGCAGTGCCAGGAGGGTCTCCCAGATGTCCTGGTACAGCCTTGACCCTCTGCAGGATGGTGAAGCAGGCCTCAGCCTTGCAGGAGTGCCACCTGGCCTGGCCAGATCCTACCAAATCCTACCTTGCAGTATGGGGGAGACCTGTCCAGAGGACCCAGCCACCCTGGGTCTGAGGGCCAGGTGCCAAGTCTGCCCTTCCTTTTCTTCTCTTCACTACACCTGGTCTGTCCCTCCTTCACGTCCCCACTCACAGAGAAACATGACCCAGCTACCTTGGTTCTCCCTGTAAGTCCCTTACAGAATAAAATGAGGCATTCATTCTTAAAAGTTCTCTCTCTCCTTTTGTTACCTCTCCTTCTAGAAGGTGGGTTCTCCAAGGCCAAAGATCTGTGTCTTTCTCCTTCATGACTATATCCCACTCCCAGAACAGGGTCCTGGACTTTACTTTGTATAGGCTCACTACAAGCCTGTTGCCTGGGTTTGCAGTTTCCACATTCATTCAGATTTTACTCCCTGTTGCAACCTCCCCGAGACCCTTCTCAGACCTTCCCTTTCAATCCGTCCTGCTCACTGTTGCCGGGCTGTTTTTCAATTCAGTTTTCATGACATCAGTTCCTTGCTAAGCCTTTCCTTGCTTCTAGTTGATTGCAAGCGTTCCAAATTCATCTTCATTCACACTTATTTCTTGGCTCTCTGCACCAACATTCTGACTCCTCACTGACCCATATCATCCTATCTGGGAGCTCTCCCTTATGCCTCCCCCGTATCTCCCCAGCTTGGCTGGTTCTGCCCCACAGGCCTCACAGGAACGGTTTGCTTCCTCCTCTCCCGTCTCTGAGCCTTCTCTTACCTGATATAAATGCCCTTCTTCCTTTCTTTGACATGAGTTCTGGGACCCTGTTACTTTTGACTGCCAAGTCACTCTATAACTCAAGAGTCTTGGATAGTTTCATTAAACAAACATTTATTAAGGCTCTTGTCTGAGCAAGGTGCTACATTCAGACATGAAAGGCATAAGGCAAGTTCCAAGGAAGGTGCTGTTAAGCCAGGGCCTGGAGTGAGGACCATAGGTCTCTAGGATGACAGGCAGAGCTGCCCATGAACTGCCGCATCAAGGAAACAGAGCTGGAAAGAAACTCTGAGATCTTCCAATAGTACAGTTCTCTCCCTTGAAAAATGAACCAACCACCTGAGGTCCAGGGAAGTAAAGATCCACTTGTCAGTGGTCCCTTAAAAGTGGGAAAGGTTTACCCACGTGCATATTCTACAATCTGATTTCTATGATGCCCTCCTTCTGGGGTCATGACACTGCAGGTTCTAGTCATTCTTCCCAGCAAGCTTCCAAGTGAGTCTCTGGGAAATTCTTGTTCTGGAGCAGGAGAGATAATAAGAACCAACAAGGGACACCTGGAGGGAGAAATATTGTGTGGTCGTCCTGGACTCCCCATTAGGGACCACTGGCAAGACCTCAGCCACTAGCACTCCAACCACCAAAGGAAGACTATTGACAGTGCATGCAAGGCAAGTTGCCCTCTCTAGTGAATGCACAGCTGCCAAAACCCACATTTCACATGAGCCTGCAGATCCAAAGCTCTTGGGAATCAGGTGGGACTGGGGCTTTCTTCCTCATCTTTGAGGTCCCATGACTTCAGTGCATGTTTGTGGAAATGCTCCTTTCTTTACGATAGCTTACTAGTCAACTACCAGTAGGCCTGGCTGCTCTGTTACCTTAGCTTTCATCTTTGCCCCTCTGAGGGTGCCCTCTTGTCCCTCAGATACTTAATCCATTGTCTTCCCAATGGGCTATATCTGATATCCTCTTCCAAGACAATTTGTTTTAAAGCACGGTCAGGGGGCGCCTGGGTGGCTCAGTTGGTTAAGCGACTGCCTTCGGCTCAGGTCATGATCCTGGAGTCCCGGGATCGAGTCCCACATCGGGCTCCCTGCTCAGCAGGAAGTCTGCTTCTCCCTCTGACCCTTTCCCCTCTCATGCTCTCTCTCTATCTCATTCTCTCTCTCAAATGAATAAATAAAATCTTTAAAAAAATAAATAAATAAAGCACGGTCAGCAGAGACCCCCGGCAAAGTCTTCTACATCTTGATCATTAAAAGCCTTTCAGGCCACTAGACAAGGTGTGGGTATTGTGGGACCAGAGGCCCACCATGGAGCCCTCAGACCCTCTTGTACAGGGGTTGCCTCACATCAACCCATACTTTTCTTCTCACTAGGACCTGTCTCATGGAGGGGGTCAAAAGGGCTGGGCTGGGTATCATTCCCACAGCAGCAGCCATTTCTCTAAGAGGTTTCCTCCCCCTTTACTTTTCAGTTCAGTTTTATGAGACCTAACACGTCGTCCGGCCTCTGAGGGAACAGGTAGCAGAATTTTTCAGCCTAATTTTGGCTTTTAACCTAAAGAGGGAAAAAGCAGAGGTGACAGTATCACAAGATCAGGATTTAGGGCGGGGGCCTGAGTTCAAGTCTCAATGGCTAACCAGTCCTGTGAGCTCATTTGCTTCCCAAGCATCCCTGAGCCCTGGCTGAGGAAGCCAATTCTCTCTACCTTACGACATGGAGACAAGAGTTAAAGTGAAACCCCCAGAGCCAGCACCAGTGGTGTTGGCTTGTGTTCCTCAGGCTCAAACTCTCCGTGGCACATGGAATTGTGGGACTCCAGGACTCTGGGAGCAACTATGCCAGGTCCCCAAGTGGGACTGCCTAGGGTAGCCCTGATGCCACCAGCTGGAGAGGCCCAGAAAGAGAACCTTGTTTTTGTGGCAAGATCCAGAGCCCTACCTGAGCCTTGGTGTCCAAGATTTACTACACTGAGGTCCCAAGTGGCCTTGCTTTAGTTCACCTACCTGGATGTGATAAGCTCTTGTAAGGGCAATAACAAAGCTGCCTCCTGTATAGAACACCCAGCTGATTCTGCAGTGGGATGGCTTTTGTCATTACCACAGCATAAGTTCCTCCAGGGCTAACAGTCACATCTTTCTCCTCTCTGTGGATCCCATGGAGGCTACATGAGTGCCTTGTACCTAGTAAGTGCCCAGTAAATGTCAGTGACGCGAATGGTTAGGAGGTTAAAGTTTTGGGGCCTGGGGTTGTCAAAGCATGATGTTCTCACACATCCCCAAGGGAATGTTTTCCATATCATATCTGTGATTGCACATGCCAAGTTTCAGCAATGCAGTGGCCCACAGCCACCACCCAAACAGTCAGATAACAGCGGCTGGCCTTTCCTTGTGAGCTTATCTGTTGTTGAGTGAGCAAACTGTGAAGCCACAGAGATGGCCTAGAGCAGGGCCAGTCTCTGACAAGGGAGCCACTGGCTGACCCCAAGTGCTCGCGTTACTTAACCCCTCTGAACCTCCTTTCCTTATCTCTAAAACACAGGGATTGGGCCATATGACCTTTTTTAGTTCTGTGTCTGATGCCCAGCATTCTTACCCTTTGTCTTAGCTTCCCCTCCTGCCCCTCTACTCATCTTCCTTGATTCTTTTTCCTTGTGTATCATTGCCTTAGCCCAGCCAGTGGTGCCTCTAGGCCCAGGTGTCCAGAGCAAAACTGGGATGTCAGGGAAGCTGGGGTGCTCTGGCTCTTCTGGTTCTCCTTAGAGCCCCAGGCCCATTCTGAGAACCTAATGAAAGAACTTCTGGAACTGCACTCCGGGAAACATACTCAGGAATCGACGTGCAGTGCATTTGAATACAGTTCTGGGTTCTGGACCCCCTGAGGCCCATCCACAGACTTCAGATTAGCAACCTCTGGGATCAGTTCCTTTCTCCACCTTCCACCTCAGTTTTTCCAATATCCCAGAGGCTCTTTCCACATCAAAACCACCTTCACTGACCAGTAGAGTGTGATGTTCAGGTAAGTGAATGAAATTTCCTTTGGGAATTTTACATTTCCCCTGGACCCTAAATCAACAGGTGAAGCCTTAATGATAAGGTGGTTGACTAAGCAGCCAATGGAATTGGTGAGAAAAATTTAACGGGAGAACGTCTGAGAACCTGAAATCCCGTCCATGGCCTACCTCCTCCCTGACACTGTCTATGGCTGTACTTTAAGCCTTGGTAAGCATCAACGCTCATAGGATCTCTGCACTTCTGCCACGGGAGGTCCCATCTCATGCAAGAACACATGTGCATGAAGACTACTGTGTTCACTCCCCAAACTTAGTATCTACAACATCCTAGGCACTGTTCTAGGCTCTAGGAATATAGCAGTGAACAAAATGAGGTCCTGGTCCTCAAGGAGTTAATTTGGAGAAGACAGAGCCTGTATTACTATTCATATAAGTCAAATTACAAGTTTAACCAGGGGCATCCTTGGGAAGACAAGAGAAACTGATTATCATGGGAAGGTTGGCTATGGTTTAATGAGCAGGCCTTGGAGGAGGAGCATTATTTTCAAGGTATCAAATTGAAAGAAATGCATTGCAGCTTAAGAGAATGAGAAAAAGAATTGACAGGGGAAACTCAAAGCTGTTCCTGCATCCTTCCCCATGCCACTAGTTTTCCTGTGTTCTGATGGATCCCCATCACTGTGTATGTTCACTGCTACAGCTCTGCCTCCATTCCTTCATCAGAAAAAAGGAGAGAAATAGTGTTCCTTTGTACGGTAACTATAAGGAAGTAAAGAGATAAAGCATGTTGGGGCCTTATCAGCATATCTACCCCATAGTAAGAGTTCAATAAATGTTATTATTAGTCTTCAGTGTTCCAGCAAGAGCATAGCTCATAAGGGACAGTCCTGGGAATAGCTGGAAAGAGCAATCTCTGGACTGGAGTAGTGTCCTGGGGGTCACCGAAGAAATCTGTGCTTTGGGGCAGGTCACTACATCTCCCTTGGAAACTGTAGGCCCCATTGGTCGGTGGTCTGGAGATCAGTGATTCTGTGACCCTTTTGTCATGGAGTAATTGGGGATCATGTGAGAGAGGCTGAGGGGGCCCGAACAGAATTGCAGAGTTGCAGAATAATTGATGTTTGCCTCCAATATCCCTCCTCACCCAGACTTCCTTTTCTGTGTCATTTGCCCACATTTTGTATCCACCTACTTTCTTCTCCCCAGTCATAAGAAATCATCTCACCAAAATAATTGGTCTCCAGGGGCTAATCTTTCAATTTGTTCTCCCTCCTAGGGATATTTTCATTTTAACAGGTGCCTGGAGCAGTTTTTTGGAGAACACTAAAGAAATGTTTGGCATTCTCTCAGCTCTATGGGAGCTTGCAATCTAGTAGGAGAAGAAAACTAATAAGCATGACACTGTTAACAAGTACAAAGAGATGTTAGCACAGAGATGTGGCCAAAGAAGGCTTTGCGTGAATGGTGAGACTTGTTCTGGGCCTTGAAATGTGGTTGGAGTTTTAACGGTAAGAAGAGGACAGGGTTTTCTAAGTGTTGGAGGGAGCAATGAGTAAGGTGGTTAGGGACAATGAGACTGAAGAAGCTGGATCCTTGTTGGGAAGCATTAATATCTACTGGTGGAGCTCTATGCAGGACAGGCAGGATTCTCTTAGTCGACCCCCTGGCTTCTAGTTTGTTCATGTACCCCTATGCTAGGAAACTAGAGGAAGGTTTGAAGAAACAGAAAATGCCACTAGCTAAACTGCCTGTGTGGGTGCAGGCATCCTCAGAACTAGTTTGTGAGCCTTGCAAAAATATTTTAAATTCACATCTAATTTAACTTACAACTCATTGTCAACAAGCACTGGGTCTGATCATCCATTTGTTCCACCACGCATGGCTTCAAATGACCTTTTACTATTTCCCAAATCTAGTCTATCATTGGTGAATGAAGAATTGGCCCATTGAGATATCTGTATGTGACTTTATACTACTGCTGAGAATTCAGGCAGTCCCCCCCTCAGTTATGGGGAATTCTTGGCTCATATTTCTTTGGATGTTGTCTCTCCTCCATTCTCAGTATTTTTGCTTCCTAGAACACCAATTAGACAGAATATTAAGTCTTATGGATCCATTCTTCATGTTTCTTACCTGCTCTTTTCATATTTCCCATCTCTTTTATCTCTTTGTGCTACATTCTGAGATAATTCCTTGATTGAATCTCCCAGCTCTTCAACTGTTATTTGGCTTTCAGTCCATCCATTCAGATTTTCATTTCAAAAATCAAACTATTAATGTCCATTATATGTTCATTTCTTTTTGGATGGCAGTATCTGCTGATGTTGTTATTATCTGCTGAGGTTGTTATTAATTCAATGTATTATAGGGCCCTGTTTTGATTGATCAGTAAGTCTGTTTCCTTAGGTGCAAACTCTTCTGTTTACAGTTTGTGACTTCCTCATATGGTGTTGGCATTCATCAGATTTTGGTCTTAATTATGTGCTCATTTTTGTGGCTGAAATTTCCCATTAGTCATCCGGCTACCTCTCTTTGTCCACCTTTTTGGGGAGGAAGAGAACAGACAGGACATTCTGGTGCAGTTTGTATTCCAAAATGTTTACAGGAAGAGTGAGAAAGGGGTGGAACATGCCACTAGTCAGAATATCTTAGAGCTAGGCTTCTGGGCTTGGGTGTACCCTGCATCTGCAGCCCCAGCCCTCTGTGCCAATAGCTTTTTTGGAAAGAGTCCCTACCTCAGCTGCTGTTTGATAGGGGGGGAAGGAGATATACGGGAACTCCTGAAGCCATTTCCTCAATCTGCTTGTTGCCCCTAGTTTCCTCCTGCTCTCATAAACCTACTCTCTCCACATATGAGACCCCATTTGGTTTTGTCTTGCCTTTGTAGGGATACTTTTCTGTGTGTATTTTGATTTGTTTCCTCCATCGGGTCGATTCCATCAGTTTTTATACTTTCAGAATTTCTGGCCCAAGGAGGGCTCCCTTCTTGTTTTAGAGTTCAGTTGTAGATTTTAAAAATATCTTTTCTATCAGTTCCAGAGATTTGGGGTGACAAAGAAAGGCTGTAACATGTGCTTCATCCACCATCTTGAACCAGAAGTTTACTGAGGATATTAAAAGTGCCACAGACTTCTGAAAGCAATTCCAAAGAAGGGGCTCTGGTGATGTTTTGGCTTCTATCATTGAAATGAGTGAGTAGGCTGCATAGGAGTGTCATCTGTTTGGTCCTGTAATGTCTGATGTAATAGTTACTCATCAGTCCCATGGCTCTGAGGCCAGACCCTGTGACAATAAAGCAGCATTGTTGATGTCAGAGGTGCTCTAGACTTCACCCACGGAGGGTCCAGAGTTGGATATGATAAACAGAGGAGGCAGCAGGGGATAAAGAACATAGAGAGATATACTCGGAAGACCCAGAAGAGCAAATATAGGTTAGACATGGAGGTCAGTGACCCAGCTGGAGGGAAAAGAAGCAAGCAGAGATGCACACACAAAAATGGCTTCTCTGAGAGTGGGTGGAATAGAGAACATGGAAGATTTTGGCCAGGCATGAGAATTCCAATAAAATAATCAACATTTCTATAAGGCAGGGTAAACTTGGAAAAAGGCAATGGTGAATCCTCCATAAGTGATAGAAGCAGTTTGCACAAGGCTGAATGATCTGTGACCAGTTGGAACTTGGAAGTAAGACATAATCAGCATTGTTTAGTTTTTATGACATTATATGTAGTTTGTCATAGTGGGGAATAATTTACTTTACAGCCCCATACTGTGTGACTTGAGGCAAGTTACTAAACCCATCTGAGCCTTCAGTTTCCTTCCCAGTAAAATGGAGATAATAGAGCCTTCTTTGCCTTGAGATAACTTAGATGAAATATCTACATAAACTGTGATAAAGTACAAATGGCAGGCATGATTTTGCCTCAGGCTCCTTCTAACTCTCTTGGAGTTTCAGAGCAAAGCAGAAATGAACAATCTAGTGTCCCTTGAAAGAGAGAAAAAGCCTCAGGTAAGCATTCCAGGGTTCACTGCAAGGCTCTGAAATGCCACAGCCAGTGAACCAGACACATTCTCCCAAGGAGTCTACTCCTTCACCAAAGGCCTTCTATTCTAGGTACCATGCCAGGTGATGGGCACCTGAGGAACATGGTTGACAGGCCCCATCCCTAGAGCTCATGACCTAGTAGTGAAGGCAGGCCTTGAACTAGTAAGCATAAAATTGAGACGAGTTTTATCGGAGGGAGCATGTGAGGTCCTACAGGAATATGTAACAGAAAACTCCTTCCAAATTTCCCAGGTGAGGTCAGGTACCCACTCAAGCTCAATCTGAAAGATAGTATTTTCCAGGGGAAGGAATGGCAAAGGGGTGACTTATTCCAGAGAGTGGGAACAGTGTGTACAACAGCTCTGATGGTTAGGAAGACAATGATCTCACCAAAAGTAGGAAAACTTCTTTCCAAATTATGCAGGCACTATTCCATTAATTGGGGGCAGACATTATTTGTGCAGAGGGTCTCTGAAACAGCTGGGCTGTAAGTTCTTACATGGTTTCCTGACTTGTCGGAGGAGTGAAGTGGGGGACTGGCCATGTGTGCAGGTGTGCTCGCCTGAATTGATTTCCACCATTTCTCATTAAAGTCACTAATGACCTGGGGCACAATGAGGGATCCCTGTCTCCCATAAAAACCCAGTTAAAGTAACTCAAAGGAATCTTTACTCAACAGAATATTTTGAGAAGAAATCTCATTTTCAGTTTGTTACACTTACAAGTGAATAGGGAAGGAGGCTTTCTGGTGTTTCCAGTCCTCAGGAAAGTTTGGAAGCCTTTAGCCCCATGGATGGAAACAGTCCCTGAGCCCCAAGTTTAGCTGAGACAAAAGTTGTGACTTGCCTGCTATTGATCCCAAGTTCTACATGGAAGCTGCTAATGGGGTCCTAAGAAACCAGCCAAGGGGTACAGAGGAAAACCCCCCCTTGCTGGGACATGATGTAGGTAGAGAGTACTTCTGGAAAAGCACCCTGAAGGTGACAGGCTCTGTAATGATGGATGAGTAGGCGTTTGCTAAAGAGCTCTTTCCACACTCCTGCCAGTGCTATAGGAAGCAGTCCTTTCCTCACATGGTAGGAACAATCCTCCTGAAAATTATTGCCCCAGAAATGATAAAGTGGCCCAAATAGTTCAGCTGAATCCTGAGTATTATTCCCTCAATTCATGGGAGCCCTAACTTTGCTCACATGGAACCAGATGTTCAGAGTTAATATTTTCTGCCAACACAGACTTACTGGGTAAGGCAGTATATCTATATCACCGTGGTGGAATCCAAAGTAGGCATTCCTGAAAGAAGTGTTTCTGTACAGCTTATCAATAAAAGCAGTGGGCCTAGAGATACTGCCCTCCATCCCCTGCCCCCACCCTAGGAATCTTAAAATGGGAAAAATAAAGATAAAATCTGTTGCCATCTTAGCTGTACAATCTTTAGGTCTTAGGAAAACTACACAAGATTCCATTTACAATGAATCCAGGAGCAGGTTCAGTAACCGATATTTATGAAGCTCCCATTTCTGTGAAAATCAAGACAGTGGCCACTGGTTATTTTGCCCAGTTCTCTGACCTGAGGATTTGGAAATTAGCATTTATAGGGGAGGAAGATATTCACCTTGGCATTCACCCCATAAGTCCAACAGGTGAGGGGTGGGCATGACGGCCCCGCATAAATCATTCTGGGCTCACCTCTAAAAATTCTGATCCAGTAAAGGCCTGGCTTTGGCCTATATGGTAAATCCCCAATATGCCATTTAATAGACCTGTAACCTTGGTTGGGCAAGTTACTTAACCTCCCTGAGCCTCGGATTCCATAGCTTTGTAATGGAGGTAGCACCTACCTTCTATAGTGGTTGGTGAGGATTTTATAGCTCATTTACTTAAAGCAACTAGTACAATTCATTCCCCAATAAGTGGTAGCCAACCTTAATGGTAAAGTAAATACCCGTCAAAAGACAAAGATGTCAAGAAGAAGAAAAATATTTAACTAAGAACTATGTTTTGAGAAAAGATGTATAGTCAGATAGCTTGGCATTGGAGATGAGGGGTAGACAGTAGATAGAGACTCACAGACTGGTTTGCCCAGAACAGTCCCAGTGATGCCTATTGTCCCTGCACCATTATTAATAGTATTCCCTTTACTCTCAAAAGTGCTCCAGTTTAGATAATAAATTTTATGATTCTCCAGTGTGCTTCCAGAAGCAGCCACCCCCTCCCTTCTCTCTGCCTACAGCATCACACTACAGTGACTACAGCTATTAATTATTATAATGGCTACCTTTTATTGAACACCAAGCTTTACCTTACTACATCTAAGCCGCACAACCAGTCCCATAAAGATTTTACCTTTATATCCATTTTACATATGTGGCTTAGAGAGGTGAAGTAACTTGCCCAAGAGTCCAGATTTCACGAAGTGTAGAACTCGGGGATGGATGGAATAGCAGGCTTCTGTGTGGCCTTCAGTTCAGGGAAGGGCAGAGCAGGTGGTGATTCTGCGAGGGTGAGGAGAGCCATTCTGGAAATTTCCCTTGTCAATGGAGCTGGTCTCCCACAACCTCCAGGGTCTGAACCACAAACGCCTCTGGGAAGGGGACAGGGCTCAAAGGAATGTTGGCTCTTGGTTTGGTGGCCAACAGGAGCTTTGCCTCCATGCCAGAGCATGAGGAAATCTGAACAGGCCCTAGCTTCTTAGACATTGTGCTCTAGTGCCTGAGCCCAGGGCACTGAGGTCAGTCTCAAACAGCACCATTTTCATTGCAATATTTCCTTCCAAATACTATCCCAAAGCGCTAAACCATATAAAAACAGCAGCAACATAAGGATCAAGCCCTCTTTACCTTTTGTGGTATCTTTTAGACACTAATAACTCTCAATCTGTGGGTCCTAATCCTACTTGTGGATCACAATAGGCCTTTTGTGCCTGCATATGTATATATATAGCAGTAAATGTAAATAATAATAGCTAACACTTATTGAGCACTTACTGTGCGCCAGGCACTGTTCGAAGCACTTTGTAGGTAGTATTCTCACTGAATCCTTATACCAACTCTAGGAGGTAGGCACTGATACTGAAGTCCAGAAACTAGCAGCAACTTGCCCAAGGTCACTGAGCCACTGAGTGGTAGAATGGGACTCAGATCCAGGCAGTGTGGCTCAGAAGCATACATCGATCCTCTCTACTGCTTCTTGCTTTCTTCTCTCTCCTCTGCTCTGTACTGGTAGCTAACATTACATATCCTACCTACTTCCAAAGGACCAGAGGCTCCTTGAGCAGGCACTAGGTAGGCTTCTAGAGCCCTGCCAGGGGATGGGACTATGCTCTCCTCCTTTTAGCTAGGATTGTGTGCTTTCCAAATCATTGCCTCTTCTCCACAAAGCTTTCCAGATCTTCCCAGTCACCTCTCCCACCGGTGTCCTCCTGTATTGCCCACGACCAGGGTCAGCACTTGGTGGACTTCTTCGGTGACATTTCTAACATGTCTTTATTCCAGTGTAACCCAGGTGCTTTTAAACATGTGGCTCGACTCTCAGGTTAGATTGTAAGCTATCGTGCCTCTCTCCCTAGTCACCTCCCAGCAGGACCCCTATCAGCCTATACAGCACACTTGTATGATTTAGAAAAATCCACATCTGGGAGGACAACTTTGGAAAAGGCTCCCCTTCAGTCAAGCTTGGACTGGATTCCAGTTCCTCCTGCCTCTGCATTTCTTCCCCACCCTATTTCCCACCCTGTCCCACCCCACGCCATCCTCTGTGTGTCTAGCAGGAGGGCTAAGAAAGAGGTGCTCAGTATGTTTCTATGTGTTGGCTGCCTGGAATTCAGAGGTAGGGCCTGTTGAAATTGTTATAAAAATTTACAAAAACTAAGAGGATTATAAGAGTGGTTTTCTCTTTAAAATGTAAATCTGATTTATCCAATTAGAAGAGTTCAAATCCAAAAAACTAGGGGGGTCATCCAGCTTAAGTAGATGACTGAATGTCCAAGGAACCAAAATGGGCCGCAGCAAATGCCGCTCACGACAAATTTGACAAAAGCTTGAGAAAGTGGGAAAGTCTTAGGAAGCTGTGAGTTTAAGTAACCCCTACCCCCAACCCCTACCATGATTTACAAGCTGCGGCAGTTTAGGAAAATCACAAAATCTCTCTCCTGGCCCCAGATTGTACATCTGTAAAATGGAGCTAATGATCTCTGCCC